GAACTCTGTGTTAGGAACTGCAGTGACAGGACAAGGAGTAATGGGTTCAAACTGAAGGAGGGAAAGTCCAGGTTAGAAAATAAAATAATTTTTTCCCTGTGAGGGTGGTGAGACACTGTCCCAGGTTGCCCAGGGAGGCTGTGGTTGCCCCAACCCTGGCAGTGCTCATAGCCAGGTTGGCTGAAGCCTTGAGCAACCTGATCTGGTGAGGAGGTGTCCCTGCCCAGGGCAGGGGGTTGGGACTAGATGATCTGTAAGGTCCTTTCCAACCCTTCAATTCTATGATTCTATGATTAATCTGCACACATACTTTGGTTCAGCATGAAATAGATTTAGAACGTTTATGTAAGAGCTTCTAGCTGGAGTAAGATGCACATTTAAATGCTACTAATTGGGCATCTTCTCACATGGTCTTTTTTAATCTGAATGATTCTATGCTTGCGTGCAAGCACCTTGCAGTGCAGTCACAAATCAGGTCACCATGAAAGCACTGAAGTACAGAAAGTTACTGCATTATCTCTGAAACCTGCAAGGCCACGTGGGACTCAGACCAAAACAAAAATAAGTATGTTTTAAAGCTTTCCATAAAATAATGTGACTTATAGAGAAATGAAGTCAACAGAAATGTAGTGGCACAAATTAGTGTGTCTGCTCACACATATAAGCATAAAGTCACACTGTGATCTGTGTAAAAAATTAACAGCAAACTTTGCCTGAAAAAAGGATATGTAGAACATATACTTACTTTATGACTGGATTCACCATCCAGACTAGCTGTTGTGACAAAACATGTTCCATCTCCTCTACTACTGGATAGAAATATTAAATCACATGGGAATGTTTCATCTTCTTTTACCATTACAATATCTCCAACCTAAGGAAAAAACCCACAAGAAAATAAAATGTAGTTATGCAGCAGAGCAAATTTCAGATTTCAAAGCTAAAACCTAGATTGACACAAATATTTTGAAAACTCACAAGTTTTTATTTACACCAAGATTATACCACAGAAGTAAAGAACTACAAAAGTAACTCCGAGAAACTGAATTATACCTTGTGGAATGACTGAGTCCTACTGTTTATTACCTTTCCTTTGAGAGATAGAGGATATCCTTGTTCAGACACTAAATACAATAAAACATTGCATTAAAACCAGCAGGAGAAGTAAACTACTCTCCTTGGCCCATGAGGATAAGCATCTACCTCCAAATGCTACAATGAGAGATAGCTGAAGCAGCTAAGACTTCCAAGTCTGCTGATGAAAACAGGATACATTTTTAGCAGAATGCGTGACTAGAAGTCCATCCAATTTTTATCCATGTTTAAAGGTGAGCAGTTCATTTTTATTCATGCAAACATCAACCTCCCTACTCCAGCAGGGCCACCCTAGAGCACATAACTCAGGATTGTGTACAGATGGTTCTGGAGTATCTCCAGTGGGGGAGAATCTACAACCTCTCTCTGTTCAGTGCTCAGTGACTGCACAGGAAAGAAGTTCTTCCTTGTGTTCATGTGGAACTTCCTGGGCATCAGTTTTTGCTGTTCCCTCTTGTTTTACTCAGAGGCATTACATTAAAAAGAAGTATATTCAAGGTCTATTCTACATTAAATGCAATAAATGATACATTACCATCACACTACATTTCTGTTTAACTTGTTTTACATGTGAAGTGTAAGAAGGGTGAAGTAAAGCCTGATCCCCAAACCCATTAAGTCACAGTTACTTACTCTTAACTTTCGGCTTTGCTTTCTGACCAGTTTCCCATGTTGTATGAAATGGACAGGGCATTGATTCATGGCATTGTCAGCTTTGTGCCGCAGCCAATCTTCATAACCCTGGAAAACAGTGAAGTGGGATGATGCAGTGATGCACATTTGGCTGTAAAGACACAGAACATCTCTAGCTTGCAAGAAAAGTTTAAAAAATTATCCTTCATATCTGACCATCAGTGCCCCCTCCTAGCCTCTTGGCCACCCTGAACCTGCTGGTCTGCTGTGGGGAAAGGTTGGAGAAAAAGCCTTAGAATCATAGAATCATCAAGGT